AGATCTGCTGGACCCGGCGACACTGCGGAAACTCCATCAGTATCTGCTGTGAAATCTGGTGGGGATGTGGATTCTCAAAATAGAACTCCAATTGTGTTGCCGATGAAACGTAAATTGACCGACTTGAAGGAAATTGGGCTTGCATCACCAGGGAAGCGACTTAACACTGGTGAGCACACACTTAGATCGCCTGTTTTTGCAACACCTAATACTGTCCATAGAAACGGTGTTCAATTAGATGCCAATGCACTCTGCACACCAAGTTCTATTTCAAAGGATAATCATGGCCGATTGCTAACAAGTACATTGCTGGCTGATGTGGAAGAAAACCAGTACGCCAGTGCTCAGATGGGTCAAACATTTTCCTCTCACCATGGACTTGTGAAAGATCCACAACATTCTGGCTCAGAACGGCTGACCTTGGATTCTCTTGTTGTTCAGTATCTGAAACACCAGCATCGTCAATGCCCAGCTCCGATCACTACTTTACCTCCTCTCTCTCTCTTACACCCACATGTCTGTCCAGAATCAAGACGAAGCCTCGATGCTCCTTCAAATGTGACTGCCCGGCTTACCACACGAGAATTTAAAAGTATGTATGGTGGAATCCATGGGAGTCGCAAGGATCGTCAATTTGTTTATAGTAGATTCAGACCATGGCGAACATGCCGAGATGATGTCAGTGACCTTTTAACTTGTTTAACTTTCCTTGGAGATTCTTCTCAGATTGCTGTTGGCAACCACTCTGGGGAACTGAAAGTTTTTGACTCAAACAGCAACGGTGTGTTGGAGAGTTGTGCTAGTCATCAGTCTCCTTTGACACTTCTGCAATCACATTTTTATGGCGAAACTCAGCTAGTTCTCTCTTCAAGTGCACACGATGTGCGCTTATGGGATGCGACTTCTGTTTCATCTGGTCCTAGGCATTCATTTGACGGATGTAAAGCAGCACGGTTCAGCAATTCTGGTAGCTTATTTGCAGCATTATCTTCCGACTCATCCCAGTATGAGATTCTGTTGTATGACGTCCAGACCTATCAATTGGAAGTGAAGCTTACAGATACATCTAGTGGCCCTTATCGTGGGCATGCATATTCCCTTGTTCACTTCAGCCCGTCAGACTCTATGCTACTCTGGAATGGGGTTTTATGGGACCGTCGCAGTTCAAGCCCAATTCGTCGCTTTGATCAATTTACAGACTATGGAGGTGGTGGATTTCATCCTGCTGGTAACGAGGTATTGATAATAGTCACTATTGTTTACATTCACGGCATTTTGAATTGGCCTCCAGTTCTTGTTCTGTACTTGCACTTTGCCCTCTGCTTTTTAACGTGTATCTTTTTGTGTATTTTGCCCCCTTTGTAACTGTTTTAACAGGTCATTATAAACTCTGAGGTCTGGGATCTCCGAAACTATAGGCTTCTTCGAAGTGTGCCATCCTTGGATCAGACGGTGATAACATTTAATGCCAGTGGCGATGTAATATATGCAATCCTCAGGAGAAATCTCGAGGACGTCACGTCAGCATTTAATACTCGTCGAGGAAAGCACCCTCTATTTGCTGCTTTTCGCACTGTGGATGCTGTCAATTACTCTGACATTGCCACAATTCCCTTGGACCGCTGTGTTCTTGACTTTGCGACTGAGCCAACTGATTCTTTTGTTGGCCTTATTTCAATGGATGATCAAGATGAGATGTATTCTTCAGCTCGGGTTTATGAAATTGGTCGAAGGAAGCCAACAGATGATGATTCGGATCCTGATGATGCCGAGAGTGAAGAAGACGAGGATGATGATGGCGATGATGATTCAATCATGGAACCAGATCTTGACGAGGATGTTGATAGTGATGCTGATGACATCAGCAACGATGATGACAGCGTGGGTGAGTTTGACGATGACGAGGAAGATGGGGATTTCATAATGGATGGTCTTGACTTTGGTGGTGGTGGAATACTCGAGATTGTGACAGAAGGTGACGAGGACGACGATAGCGAGGTGGTCGAATCATTTAGTAGTGGAGATGAAGACTTGGACAGTTGAGGATTTATGATAAGTCAGTTGTTGACATCCATTAAACTGTCGACCAAAGAAAAGTTTTTATTGGCCAAATGAGTTCCAACTGTTGAATAATTTCACTTCAATGAGGTAGAACTGTAATTATTTTTTACTGGGTTCAAATACCATTAGTGATGGCATAGAGACATCTGAATATATCGTTACAGTTTTGAGAAGTCAAAACCAAAATTTTGAGTAATGAATCAAAACTTAAATTGAGTTTGATTAGGAATATGTTGATTGTTTACTTTATATTGGGAGTATTTTTTTAAAAATGTTTGGAGAGAGAGAGATCACTTGTCGTTTGCTCGTGTCACTTGCCTTCAATTTCTTTTGTTTATTTAATCAAGGTATCTTTTCGATCAGATGTTGAATAGATCATTAGAGGAAGAATTAGGTCAAATTAGGGTACATTATGGGAAAATCAAACTTCCATTGAAGAGAATCAAATGAAAGGCTTTCATAAAAATTCTCTTAGAATCGAGAATTTGGCTCCATCTGTGTGAAGCAAATTTTTCACTGCAACACACAATTCGCTTGACTAGCGGTTTGCTTAATTCTTTTGCAGATCACAATCGACGTGAGTGGATGTGCATTGTGCTTTAAAGGAAGCGACATTTTAATTGTCTTGAATATCCAAATGTGAAAACCTATCTTAAACAAGCTCGCGTGCATGAGAATTCAGGAGGTTTAATAAGTGAAAATGTTTTAACGGAAAATTAAAAGCATGTTTGGCACACTACTAGAATATTGGTGAACAAGATTTAGAGCTTGTTTGGGAGAGATTTTTGGAGGAAGAATTGATTTTGAATAGTGATATGATGGGAAATGTGTGGTTGAAAAAGAAGAAAAAATTATTGATGTGATGGAAAATATTATTTTATTGAAAAATGTGTGGTTGAAAATGAGAATTGATTTACTGTAGAAAAATTTAATCCCTCTCAAACAGGACCTTATTAAGTTTCATTCAACACACCTTACCAAACATACATCGAATTAAACATGATGAAAATCTAGTGTATGAGTCATAAATTTATAATGAAAATTATTAGATTGATAGTATTGTAACGAATTTAGATAATATCCATTAATTTTTTATTCAAAAAAAAATGTCATTTATTAAATTTTCTTTATTCGGTCTCCAATGTGAGTGCTTGTTTGGTAAAGATTAAAATCCAATTAAAATTGAAAATATAACAATTATTGAATCTCACTCGTCTAATAAAAGTCAACAATAACGATTAGTTTTTAAATTTTAATCCGATTTTAATTTCTATCAAACACGCCCGCAAATAGCTATCTTTTTTATGCTATTCACCTCAATACACCATAATACCATCTTCTTAATATTATCCATTCTAATTCTATACCAAGGCCCATTTGATGAAAATTAAAATTAAAATTTTAATCTAAATCACAATCAACCATTAATTTTAATCATATATTTCATAGCATCCACAACTTTTCAACCACAAATTTTATTAACTTTTATCAAAATCAAAATCTATTAAAAACTTGATTTTAATCCCCACCAAACAGGGACTAAATCCTTTATACGGATTAATCCGGTGCACAAAAGGAAGCCTAAATGTATAAGCAAGTGAAGAAAATTGTTTGTTTATAACAGCGGTTTGGGACAGTTCAACAGCAATAAGATATATTACATGAGAACGGGGGGATAACGGGGCCGTGATCCTAATCTATTCGAAGCTACAAGTAAAATACTTCAGAACTAGATTTTTCACTTCCAATTTTCTTTTTCACATATAAAAATTTGCACTCACTAAAGCTTGAAGATGAACCGCAACCGATGCAGCTACAGTTCTTAAAGTTCCAAAACCTGCAGGAAAAGACCAATCTCATCTGCGCAAAATATCGAAAAGAAAATGAATATGAATATCGATTGATAAGGAACATCATAATCCAGTGCAGAATTGCAAAGAAATGGAAACAGCTAAACATGAGCTAAGGCAAAATACCCTTATTATAAGTGCCTTCTTTTGTCCAAATTTCAATACAACAATTACTTGGCGAACATAAATAGCAGACCTTTTCTCATATTCAAGAACCTCCCCACAAAATATCTCTCTGTGTATCAGAGACGTATATCTCAACATTTCTCTAGTTTTTTTATTTTCAGTAGTGGGTGGCTTTAGGCATGTGGATGCTCGTGCTTTTGGTAAAGGAAGAAAGTAAGGCTACTGGATGGAACATGTAGGAGAGAAATAATCAACAATTGATGAAATACGTAAACATCAACACAATTACTGTTGGATAAATACCCATATTTTCTTACCAGAGTCGAACTTCAGATACGAAGACCTTGGCGTCAAGTGCTTTACGAGGTCTAGGATTGTAAATGGACTAATATTAATGAAGGGGATATTAGGAAGGAAATTACTAAAAGAATTAAAGTTGGTTCGATAGGTGGACTCCTAGTGAAATTTTGTGTGATCCACGGATTTTTATAAGATCAGATGGAAAACTCTACGAGACTGCTGTAAGACCAAGGATGGTGTATGGACTGTTAAGAAATTACATTTACATAAATCAAGCATAGTTGAGAATGTTATGACAGCTTTGAAAATTAGAATCATAAGGATGAGGTGGTTAAAACTTATGAATAGTTGCGGTTTAACACTGCAGATGGTCCTTGATAGAGTGAGTGAAAGCGAGAATCCGTATAGAGGAGTTGTGATAAGGGATGATGTTCGGTGAAGTTGAGTGTACACAAATACAGCAAACCGAGACTTATTCCCTGATAAAATTGGCGTCGGCTCTGTATAAGTATATATATTCACTGCTTATGTACACTATATAAATATGCATGTATACATCAACTTTCATGAGAATAGTCATATCATTCCAATAGCATTAAATGAGTTCTGTTTAGAGGTAAACCAGCACACCTGGCATATAAAATTAGATTGAACTTCAGTGCTTCACTTGTCTGGGTGTCCCCGTTTGGCCTTCCGACGTGAATGATTAGAGTTACCATGTACAGGCCTGATCACCTTTTTACTGCAATATGAAGTTAACTGTAATTCCTAACACAGAGAAAACCTTTATGGCTCGTTCAGTAAGATGAATTGTGCTGTACTTGACAATATTAGAAAAGAAACAGAAGCTAAAATCTTATCTGTTGCCAGTCCTATTCAGTGCAGTGTATAAAACATAGCCTAGAGATACTGAAGACTAATATTTCCCTTCTCATCAATTACACGAAAATGTTCAATACCAACAAACAGCAGGAGGTCAAACAACTAACCAGAAAAAGGCTGAGCATACTTTGAACAGAATTGTGATGGGCAAAGCCAGTACAGCAGAAGCCTACCAAACATAAAATGTCAATTACACAAACATATATATTGATCTTGACAAAGAAAAATAGAATTAGGACCTTCGTAAGTTATACAGAACTTACAACAAACCAAACCAGCTCTCTTGTTGCAAGAGGTCTTGTAAGTTCGTGACTCTTCAGTTTTTCTTGGACGGTATCCTGAACCTTCACGTGAGAGAAGTACATTGAAATAATGAAATGATCCCACATAATTAATATATGGCTGAATATGGAATAAGGCACCTACTGCTGATTCTTACAGGAGTAATTGACAAAATATTCAAGTAACACAGAAAATCATCTTCAACTACCTACGGTTTGATAGGGAAAACATCAGCGTACAAGTGTCATACGACTCTTAAAAAACCCTAATGCACCATGAAGTTAAGGTAATTTTCAATGACCAGGAAGCTCATTCTTCCAAGACAGATACAATAAACATTGGCTGAAATTAAGAGTATGTTTTAGGAATTATTTAATTAATAGAAATCTCACTTTGACTTTATTTTATGAATGTGGGGTTTCTAGGTATTTAACAGTTGCTTGGGATGAGTCATAGACATTACCTTGATTGAAGTCAGTCCAACAATATTATGTATACATTTGGTTTCACAGATAAAAGTTGTTGTTCCAAATTCTGCGCTCTGCTACACAACTTTAAACAGAATTCAACTGTGTGCACTTGTGGTAGGTGTAATGTGTTGATCCCTAACCATTGGTCCAGAAATCATTCCTCTCACATGGGCACTATTTCCAGATAATATTTCACGGTTTGTACACCAAAGTGATGCAACCCATTTGTAAATTGAGAAGCGCTTTACTCTGTTATCCATTGAACTGTTTCAGCACAGAATTCCGTTTTCTTTGCAAGCAATTAAACAATATGCTGGAACCAAGTTAATCCACAGAAATTTTATTAAAAGCAACAGGAGATCTGTCAGTATTTTTTCTCCACAGATATTGCAACCTCTGACACTCTTAACTAGACAAACCATGCCCATTTCCCATATATTTCACCAGTGAGGTGTTCTTATGTTTCAGTTGAATTATTCTACCATGGTGGTTCTTGGAGTTTAGAGTCCTGTAGTGGTGGTTAACTGTTTTATTTACCAAGACTAGGTTTTGGGGGTTTTGGCTATGATGGCGTTGTTAATCTGATGGCGGAATTTCAGGTTTGGATGGAATAATAAGTTCTTTAAAACAAGAAGAAAATTCAGTAATGATGACCCAAGGGGCTACAGCCCATCAAAAAAAGATCATTTATCTATTAGTTGGTTGAGCTAATCTAGAATTGTACAAAAGAAAACTGTTAAGAGGAAGTTTTCAATTGGTCCACCAAACGCATATTCAAAACTCATTCTTCAGCATTTGAATTTTGGTGGTGTCCAGTGAGTGTTCAAGTTAGTGAGCGAGGGAAGAGTATGGCGGTACCAAGTGCTGACCCAAGTCAAATTTCAATATTCAAAATTATATACTGTAGGAATATTCATTTTAAGTAACAAAGAGCACCTAAAGAACTGCAAACAATGAATCAAAAAAAGTAAATTTGTAATGCAGAACATATATAGGACTATAATAACAAAATTATACCTTATGATGGTATGTAGTTGCCGATTCTAAGAATTTTCCAGAAGTACGAACTACCTCCTGCATATATGGCTTTAAAGCAGTATGTATTTTATCAACGTGAGGTCTAGTTGCAGTGGCAACTTGATCAATATATGGTCTGCTGACTTTCACTAATTCCTGCACTTCAATTAGGTAGACTTAAATTGGCTGAAGATACAGATGGTAAACAAATAGGACTTAAGTAAATAATCTCACCTGAAAATAAGGATCAGCAAGTTCCTGAACTTTGACGATATGTGGAGCTATGCTGTTCTTTGAAACCTCATATATCTCAAGAGTTTTTGTCTTTAGCATTTTCACGTGTGGTTCAGCCTTGGTGGTTATAACTACCCACTGCTCTTTTATGACCGGGATCCATCTCTTCACACAGAAAGGGGATAAAGGATGCATTAAAATTCAAAGTTGCAGGAAATAAAATGAACAAAACTCATCAAAAACACTCAACCATGAGTGATCTCTCCCGAAAAGTTAAAGAACTATTCTCATTTTGCAATACGACCAAATTATGCGAGTTCCACATTTTTATGAGGTCAATAATAATGCAAAAGATGATATACCAAAACAATGCGATCATAAATGATGAATGGACAACCAACTAAAATAAAAGGCTTTTAAACGGCCTAATTAAGAATGTATGTGACAATCTGTTTCTCACATCTACATTGATGAAAGCAAATTGATCACTAACAATCAGAAGTACTCAGTATCACTTATGTAAAGTTGACATACTGTTTTCAACGTTTCAGCATGCGGTGCAGCCCACTCTTCAACTTGGGCCTTCTTCTTGGCGCCCTGAAAATAGCAAGTACATAGACGCTAATGATCGTGGATTCAGAAGGAAAATATGTATCATATAATAAGTAGAATGACACCTTCGTACACTTGAACAGTGGCTAATAGAAAATCTTTACATATATATTGCAACTTGGACGTTTACCTTCTGCAGTGCCATATCCAGAGCAGGCTTTACATGCACTTTCCAGTTCTTCTCCAGAAGTGACTGAAATTACATATATAGAGCATGAGGAGAGTCTACTAATATGTACATGCTGCAAAGAGGGGAGAAAAACTCAAAACAAAAACCTGGTAATGAATCAAACGAACAGCAAGCCAAGGTGGAAGCCATGTGCCATGAGCCTAATTATATATCAGGAAATGAAGAACATTAAAATGCAATAAGATCGTGCTAAGGTCTATTACACCAAAAGAAAGAAATAAGACAGTTCTTAAAAACATAATTCATCTAAAGGGAAGGAATGGTGCATTCATAGAGAAATCAATCAAATCCATAGCCCGAATGGAAGTTATAAAGATACCAACTAGCATTATAGAGATATTGATCAGCTACAGGGAGGAAGTATTTCAGGTGAAGACTCTTGTTATGTGTATATTCAGAAGATAGGATCCCGTTTAAAGAGAAGAAAAACAGAAAAAAAAAAAAAGTGCAATAAATCTCTCCAGATGAAATTGCACACTGCTGCTTGAAATGCCAAAAACAATAGCAGCGTATTCAGGTAGTTGACAGCTTAAATACGAGCAGGACGTCTCTATGGGTATGTATATGTAACATGGTAGTTTTTACTGAAAGAAGCAATGCCAATTTAGGATATTGACTTTATCATAGAAAATATTTCATAAGAAAATTAAGGGGGAACAAATAGTAAAAATCAATTATAACCTTCCATTAGTTCTTTACCTCAAGTTTATATCCATTACATCAATTGTTCTATCCATGTTCTCTATATTTTGCTTTCAAGAATCACGATCACTGCTTGTTCGTAAACATGATTTCCAAATCATTATTTTCCTTTGCCTCTGGATTCAAATCACTATACCTACTCTTGTATATGAACGTATTTTATAGTAAAAACTAAATACATTGTTATTATTAAAATGTCTGCATGATATCATATAATCATAATACGAGCACCTAAATCTGGTCATTTCCTAATTGGATCAAGTCCTAACTCTTTCGACCACTCACAAATTGATTTGTTGGAATCAATCAACATAGGTTTCCAGCAAATGATCTAACTGAAGACTACAGTATACTAATCAACATAAACCAAGCATCAGATTGACACTCTCCAGTTACCAGGGTGCGTCAATTTCTTGCACAACGAAAATATTTGGTAAAAATTATAACAATATATAGATAAAGCTAATTTAAACGTGAAGACAAAATTGGCTGAATCATTTACTTAAGAATAACATAAGTAACTAAGATTAGCTAACGAGCAACTTAATTATTATTCAACCAAAAGGAAGCTGGAAAGGAAAAATAAGCATTCAGTAACAATTCATCCCAAATTAAGGATAGTTGAAATGGTAATGCAAAATAAACACAGTATCAAAGAAAAAATAAATGATTCAGAGAGTTTAACCTCCATCAACTCCTTAGTTTTGGACATTGTTTCAAACTTTGTCTTCATCAATTCCTCCTGCACCGAATTCATATAGAAAGTAATTGCAATCAGTCATCCTAATCTTTGTGTAAACAATTTTGAAAAGAAGCTAAGTATGAAATACCTCAGCAATTTTTAAAGCCCGTTCAGTTTTACGCAACTTGGTCTTCTGTTCATCGATAACCTTTTGAAGCTGCAAAAAGAATGGCATTCTCCATAAAAAGCAGTATAACCATTAAAAAATTAATTATTCCACTCTTGTATTTCATAAGTGAACTGATAAAAAACTTGGATGTACTCCATAAAAACACTATACACAAATTTGATCAACTTACCAACGTTCCTTTATTTCCTTCTTTTTACGCAGACCATGTTATTCTGGTCTTGCCTTTTACGGTCAACAATATTCCTGAATCTCTTAATTCCGTATTGATTTAGTCCCTCAATTTTCTTCTTAACAATTCCCATTTTTTCATTTCATTCTCGTATAAAATATAGTTATACAAGTTTTACAAAATTAGGGAACATGAGTCAAACGAGTAGCATCATATTTTTTAGCCTCTAGACACTTGGAGCTTTGCCAATATTCACATGGAGATTATATAATCACACAGGATCACAAATCAGTTAGCGGCTTTACACCATCATACTCCATTCTAAACATTTTAGCTCTCGATAGCTTGTCACTTCATAGAATCTTTTAATCGATTTCATCCATCTCTAACGAACTTTATTCACAATAAATTTAGGATCAACAACATGAATAATTTTCACCACCCTGTTAGGATAGCGTTCAATTTATTGATACATATGCTGGAAAATCAAAAGCAACTAGACCTGTCCTCTTCCAACAATGTTCGAGTGAGATCACATCAAAATTTGTGAACATGAGTCTCTTTAGGTCTAAGGAAGACGTGCCCCAACAATATAGGTTCGAGCCACTTAATTTATCCTTGATTAGTGTCACCTCCACTTCTTGGCATAGATTAGATTTTCTTTATCACACTAAGCAGTCTCATAGCATGCCACATTAGTTTTGTTTCATGTGCATCCCTCAGAACATAATTAGGGCTCCCCAATCTTTTAAAAAAAATCAAACAAGCAGATTACTGATAGAATATGACTTTGCAACCTCAGATTTGCTACTGGAAGAAAGAAAAATATGACATCTAAGATCACTGTTATAATTATGTAAATCTATAGGAAACAGTAAACAAAAAAACAACTTACATTCTCAACTTTAGAATTCAATTCAAATGCCTTCCTTTTGGCATCAATTGCTTGGGCTTCCAACACTTCCTTCTCCTTGTTTTTTCTTTCAATTTCTATTTTGAGTTTCTCCACTTGCTTTTCTAATTCACCAGCCTGTGAATGTGCCCTTCCCACTTGTTCCTCAGCATTTGATCTTCCCTTTTCCTCAGAAACAATTAAAACATATAAAACTCACGTATCACAACGGAAATTATGTCTTCAGCATGTAAATGAGTGTCAAGGATGTAAAACGATAGCAATGGCCGAATTTAGGGAATATAATGCCTCACTTGTAGAGATGTGATTTCACTTTGCAATGACACAATGCTGTCTGATTTTTCTTTAATTGTCTTCTCCTTCGCAGAAATCAACTCATCCTTGTCTTTCACTTCTTGAGTTTTCTCCTCGATATGAGCCTCTTTAGGTACAAGAAACGTGTGAGAAATCAGCAACTGCAATCAGCTTGCGCTACTAAAAGAATAATGCAATCATATAATTTCATTATATGTGACCTGAACCAAGGATGTGGATACAGCCAAACAGGTCAGTCTATTAACAATTTCATCTAATTCTACTAGATTCTTTACATAGGAGACGCTTACATGGTAAAACGGTTTCCAAATTGGTATAATGTCTTTACCGATAAGTAAAAAAGAGGCTCGAGGATTTTTTGTGTCAACTTCCATTGAATAAGATAGTTTGGAAATACTGCCTTTGGAAATAGGTGCAGATCAAGAAATGATGGTTGCTACTCCACCTCTGTATGAAACTCTACAGGTAGAAAGGAAGTAATCCGCTGGAGAGAACCATTGGTGAATTCAACTGTTCTTAAACGGTGTAATATTGCAGAAACACACAATCCAGTAAATTAGAAAATAAAAATCCAAGAGAAAGTTTATGAATCTAGCTGATATATCATAGACCTCCACCACACCTGAGTTTACTGGAATAGTCTCCACCACCTACCCTGTCAGCTTGAATGCACCCTAGAAGCTACTTTATCTTCCTTCTGGGTTTTGCTTCCACTCGTTACTAGTATTGATCCTGGAATGTTCACTTAAGTAGTCCTGTTTATTTTTCCAGGCAGTGATTTCCTACCTTCCCTTTCTATAGCATGCAAGGTACAGGCAATTTTTATTTCTCATTGTCGAGGTAAAAGGCGAAAACTTATTATTGACTTCTACTCCGTACAAAGCCCATGTTTGGTGGCCTTTAATTTAACTTAATTTATTTCTTGTACTCATTTTCAACCACTATCAAAGTAGATGAAATATGTGGTTAGAATTGAAAATCTTAGCATTAACAAACAAGCACTTAGTGAATGTAAAAGAGAACAGCTAAGCACCGAAACCTCCTTTCAATTGATCTTCTTTTCAAACCAATTCCTCTTAATATAAAACACATCCAACATTAACAAGCCATTTTTTTTTAACTACCTCATACAACTCACAAACAACACAATCGCCACTCCCAAAATATAATCAACCTGGTGCGCACACACACGGTCAAATTATGCATGCATAACATATACTCACCCATGTAGCTTACGTACAAGTCTTAAATCAAAGAACAGGGAGAAAACTCGTGGACCATAGCCGACCTACAAAGACGTGATTTTCAGACCTACCTTTCATCGGAGTCTATTTCCCAAAACATCAATACGCAAGCGCAAACAGGCGCACAATTCTATTTGGTGAGTTAAACCTCCTCTGTACATAGATCACTAGATTAAGCTCAATACTAAAACTTCCGCTAACAATCGCCAAAGAATGAATACCGAAATCACTCCAAACATAAAGAGTACGTTAAATCTCACGCTCAAAAATGAACTGCCCATTAATTCTCGTAATTCAAATGTGCTCCTTACGAAAAATACAATAACAAGGACAAATAATTTTTTTAGCAGACTACTAACCAAGAGCACCGATCTTGGTCCTGAGCTGTTCCAGCAGGACGGAATCATTATCAGAACCGGCTTTGACGTGCGTGAGGATTAGGGATAGAAATATGGACATTATGAACAATTTTAACGCCGCCATGTAGCCAATAACGAAGGCACCGGCGATCCAATTGTCCGGTGAATTTTGTTACTAATTTGGCTTCTTTGTTGTTTCGCCTTCTTCTAGCGGTTCACTAAGAAGCCTATGTTCGGTTGTAATGCAAATATGAAATTATTGACACAGCTATGCATTTCTTTATAATTGTTTTCAATGACGATAATACCCTCAAACTTGGCTTGAGGCCAGGGTGAAACAAGAAGAAGAATGTTAAGACTAGGAGCCTGTTTGGTAAAAATTTTCATTTTCTACAGTAAATCAATTCTCATTTTCAACCACACATTCTTCAATAAAATAATATTTTCCATCACATCAATACTTTTTTCTTCTTTTTCAACCACACATTTCCCATCATATCACTATTCAAAAATCAATTCTTCCCTCAAAAATCCCTACCAAACACACTCTAGTTTGCTGTCTTTTGAAAAGCAAAAATATGTTTGAGATTAAAATCTATTTTTAAAAGAGTTTTAGATAAAAATTATCTTAGATAACTCATTCAGCTTCGCTTTTCTACGAAAAGTAAAATCAGAAGTCACGTCAAATGAATCTTTACTATCGCATAGAACTTTGACGGTGAATTTTTCTTATCAAAATTGTGTAAGTAATGTGCGTAGTGCAAAGTTCATGATGCAGAACACGTTTGATTCATCCTATTAATTTGGATTGGCTCATACAATATAACTTATAAGTAGCTTCCAAATAAATAAAAGAATTCTCAACAAATCCCCAATTTTGTCTTTTTTTTTTGTTCGCCTATCCATAATT